GCACTTTATTTTTTTAATGACAGAGGGTACGTATCTGTGCACAAGAGCAAAAGAAACAGGAGAAAAAAATGACCCAGTCTGGGACCAGCAGTTGGCATAATGGCTATGTCACTGGACTCCCATGTAGTCAACCGTGGTTCAAGTCCCAGACCTGGTGGCTTAAACTCATACTGCACGTGTGTGTGTGCATACCCAAGATCCTGAGAGGAGAATGGAGGAGAAGGGATTGCGGCGTGGCTTTCTCACTTTGTTTCTCTTTCTCTGTCTTTCTGGCGAGCGCATGCACTCTATTGCAAAAACCTCTTCAAAAAAAAAAAAAAAAAAGGACCCAGTCACACCTCAATCCTTTTCTTCCAATTCTTTATCCAGTCAGGATTCTGGGCACCCAGGCCCAGCATGTTTTTCAAGCCACCAGAGTATGGGCTCAAGTCCTGGTGTGCAAGGTGGGATCCAGCTTCATCTGCACAGCCCCTAACATGTGCACTACATGGCCGGCACACCCCAATGCACCCCCTCCCCACTTGTTTTAAGGCAGGGTCTCTGTTGCAATCCTCCTGCCTCAGTTTCCCAGGTGAGACTACAGGTACACACTACCATGACCTGTTGCCCCTATGATGCCCAGGCCAGCCTTCAGGTCCAGATTCTCCTGCCTCAGCCTCCCATATCGCCAGCCTCCCGAATTGCTATGGCTATGCTATACCACAGCCAGCCTTCTGTACCCGAGGTTCTACGTCCATGAATTCAGCTAGTCGCACATGCAACCAGGCCATGTGAAAGAGGAAGAGATGAGCTCCCTACAAGGGAGATGTGGAAAGAGTTTATCTACACATGTTCCTTTCACTTATATCTGATGCTAGGATTACTTTTAAGTTAAACAGAGATGCTTTAAAATATAGAGAAGAATATGCCATGGCTATATGCAATTACTACATCATTTTGTATACAGCACTTGAACACCCATGAATTTTGGAATCCACAGGGATCCTATAACCACAACCACAGGCAGATAAAAAGGAATGGCTATATAATCCAAGCACACATCACCATCTTTAAATTTTATTAATAATGAATAGTGTTTTTAATTATGTGAGGCCTTAAGGAATCAGTCTTTATAAAAGAATCATTCTGTAAAGATGGTCAAGTTCAGATGGCCGAGTTCTTTAATAGTCTTCACACTGGAGCCAGCAGGTGGCATGATGGTTAAGGGCACTGAACTCTCACATGGCTGGCTACGGTTCAAGTCCCAGACCTGGGACTTGCTTTCTCGCTCCCTGCCCCCTCCCTCTCTCACTTGTTCTTTCCCTCTCTGGTCAAATTAAAATAAAATAATAAAGTTAAATAATTCTTTTTTTGGAGAGATTTTTGCTATAGGGCTCACCAGAAAGACAGAGAGAGACAGAGAGACAGAAAGTGAAAAACCACCCCCCAGGGGGGATGGCCATGCCGCAATTCCCTTCTCCTCCATTCTCCTCTTGGGATCTTGGCCACGCACGCACCCACACATGCCCAACATGAGTTTAAGTCACTGGGTCCAGGACTCGAACCACAGTCAACTACATGGGAATCCAGCAACCCAGCCATTACGCCATTGGCTGGTCCCAAATAAAATAGTTCTTAAAAAAACAAAACAAAACAGTCTTTATACAATATGTATCAATTTGCCTAACCATGCAGTAAAGGTTTGTTTCACTATTTTGCCCTGAGGCCACCAGATTCTAGAATTTCTTGAACCCTTTAGCATTATAATTAGAATCAGCATTTATCCAGTGGCAGCAATTCCCACAGTGCTTCAATAAAATAAGTTTAAGAAACACCAAATGAAACAAAGTTAACAGTAAAAAATTTCTTTATAATATAACTTCTCAGGGTCCTAAGTGCTAATGTGCATTGTGATTCTTCAAAAGGAAACAGTATAAAGCCCTTTGCAAAAGGGCTTCAAATTCTAATTATCACTTGGTCCTATTTACCCATCTCTACCCCCAGAAGAGAGACTAACAATGCTTTGACTGGCACTTGGCATCAAACTGAAAGGTGATCCAGCTCATTTTCCAACTTATAGTAAATAAACAGCACAGAGTCTAATGAAGTGACAGTTTCCTATTCAAAGTCAACACTTTAGAGGCCAGTTTTGGTACTTTGTATCAAGTGTTTGGAGTTTCAAGAAATAGGCAGGTTGAAATCAATTTGTTCTGCTGCATGTGGTTATTTAAATCACTTCAATCCATTTTTAGACAAAAAAAATGTAAGAAAACAAATACTCAAACAGCTTCAGATGCAAGCATAAAAACTTTTTATCATTTATCATGCTGAAATATTAAAACTACTTAATTCTTTGCTTGGCCTTACTTTGAGAAAGCACAGAACTTTAACACTAGAGAGTACTGAAAAGAATAATTTAAGATTTGCTTGCTTTCCACCGACATAAAAAAACTTTCATATAAAATATTATTTCTCTTCAAATAATTCAACTGATGCTGCTTTTAAGAACTGTATTTCTCTACTGCTCTACCTATCTCCTAAAGTTTTTCTTCAGTCATACCAACTTCTAGAAAAGAACATCAAGGTGTAATATCGAGTTTTATATAACAACTTAGGGAAAAAAAACATAAAATCCAAATAAGTTCATTTATAAACTAAAGAATGCCTAAATCAATAAAAAAGTAGCTATCCTTTTCCAAGTTGAAGGGTGAAAAATCATTATTCTCTTACCTAGTGATATCATACACCATAAGTGCTCCCGCAGCTCCTCTGTAGTAGCTTCGTGTAACAGCTCTAAATCGCTCCTGTCCTGCTGTATCCCAAATCTGCAGTTTGATTTTTTGGCCACTAACTTCAATTATTCTTGTACCAAATTCAACACCAATTGTGTGAGGACAATCAGCCATAACTGTCAGACAAGAAAAAAAAAAATATTATCCCAACTTTCAGAAAACTCTGAAATTAAGACTAGTAGGGAAAAATCCACTGACTAATCAAATGATGTGCTAATACTTGTAGACTAATACACAGACTAAAACTACAACTGGAAAAAAAAATTAACAAAGACACAGAAAAAGTCAGGGAAATGTGACTGGACTAGAGCAGGGCCCAGCAAAGTTTCAGAAAGAACAAAAGAGTAAACAATTTAAAATCTGTAAGCAAAGGGTCTTTGTCACAACTACTTGACTATGCCACTAAGACATAAAAGATGTCATATACAGTATATTAAATGAGCGTGGTTCTTTTTGATAAAATTTTATTTGCCAGACCAGAAGGTGGCGTGGTGGTTAAGGCGCTGGACACTCCCACATGGTTGACCGCTGTTCAAGTACCGGACCTGGTGGCTTGCTTTCTCACTTCCCCTCTCTCTCTCTCTGTCTCTCTATATATGTATCTCTCTCTGGTCAAATTTAAGTAAATGGACAGCTAAATAAAAAATGAAATAAATAATTATAAAAATAATTTTATTTGCCAAAACAGGCAGTCGCTGGATTTGGCCCACTAACCACAATATACTGACCCCTAGACTAAAAGAATCTGCTAAATAAAAAGAAGGATTTTGATAAACTCTTCACAATACCAACATTATAAATTCAGCCTTCTGACAGTTACTACCTATAAAAAAAATTAATTAATGGTTTTAAGATTCTAGTTGTTAGTGAAACTTTTATCTTAAAAAGTATTATCAGTGTCTCAAACAAAATTATCATGTTTACTACATACTGTAATTATACACTGGCAAGTTAGATCATGTCTGAACCAATAAAATAAGTTTAAAAGTTCTTTTCTTATAATTAGGTCACTTAAATCTAAATCCATTATTCTCTGCTACAAGTATATAGACTGCCGACACTCCATAAAATATTACATTAAGGGGCCAGCAGGTAATATGGTGGTTAAGGTGGCTGGACTCCTACATGGCTGACCATGGTTCAAGTTCTGAACCTGGCAGTTTGTTTTCTCACTTTTCTTCTCTCTCTAGTCAACTTCAAAAAAATAAAATAAAATAATGACAATAAAATTAAATACAATAATTCTTAAAATAATTACATCAAACATTTGTGGGAAACAACACAAAAAATCCATAAATAATTTCAACTAAACAGAAACAATTTTTTTTTTGGAGAGGTTTTTATTATAGGGCGCGTGTGCTCGCTAGAAAGACAGAGAAAGACAGAGACAGAAAACGAGAAATCACTGTACACGCATGCAACCAGAATGAGTTTAAGCCACTGGGTCCAGGACTTGAACTGCGGTCAACTACATGGGAGTCCAGTGACATAACCATTATGTCAATTGCTGGTCCTACAGAAACAATTTCAACTATACTACTATATAAGTTAAATCAAATTGGCACCTTCCCCTATCACTCAAGAAAGTATTTTATTTTTCTGAATCCTTTCTGAATCCTAATCAACTAGTCATGACTACAGAAAGAATTCCACTTTAGAATTTCAAATGTATTAGTTAACAAATGATAAGTGCAGCCAATTTCCCCAGAAAGATTAAATTTCCATAACAAAAAGAGAATAATGAAAAGATCTAAATTTGACATTGTTCTTAGCCTACTGAAGAATTAACTTTACATTTTTACCATTTGAGAAATCAAAACAAATGAATCAGATTTATGGTGTATAAAAAAACAACACTCTTTAAGTATGCTGACATGATAAGTTTTATATGCACCTGTTCTTTTTTAATGCTAATAAGGAGGACAAGCAGATGCACTAATGGTTACGTTGCTAGATTCCCATGTAGTTGACTATGGTTCAAGTCCTAGATCCAGTGGCTTAAAATTCATGCTGGGTGTGTGTGTGTGCATTCCCATCCCCCATAAGAGGTGATTTCTCGCTTTCCATCCCTCTCTCTCTCTCTCTCTCTAGCAAGCACACATGCCCTATAGAAGAAATCTCTCTCTCTAAAAAAATTTTTAATGCCAAAAAGTGGGGCCAGCAGGTGGCATGGCATAGTGGTTAAAGGCACTAGATTCCCACAGGGCCGACTGTGGTTTGGGTTCCAGACCTGGCGAGTTGCTTTCTCACTTTCCCTTTCTCTCTCTGTCTCTCTCTGATCAAATTTAAAAATACATATATAATAACAAAGGGAATTAAAGAAATAAATGATACTAAAAATACAAATATAGAGAAAAGGTCTATATACATATAATACAATGAAAAATGACACTTTTTAAAATAGAAATGTGACAACAAAAAACACTACATGTTTTTCCTCATATACTGAACTTACATTTTTTTTCTGTAAATTGATGAAGCAAGCAAGATTTTCCTACTCCCATGTCCCCTGTTTAAAAAAAAAAAAAAGTTTCAGATGGCAATTACATCTCTCAATTTTATACTCATAAATCATACAATGACTGCTATGCTCCTTACCATAACACATGACAAGTTTCTGGGGCACTTAGAAAAATTTTATTTTCCTACTTTATAATTGCCTCGAAAGATCTATAAGTCAGCTTTAACTGTGAAATACAAGCTGACTATTCTCAACCTGTAGCAGTGCTAAAATTTGATTGTAAATTATGTTAATAGTCAGCATTTGGGAAGTGCTTTTTAACAAACTGTAATAATGGTTATTTACTTTGAAAAAGTTTTGTTTTTTTCTCTTACTCAGCCTAGAAGCAAAAGATTCTTAAAAGTATCAAATGGGGTAGCACTTAACAAGCAGAAACAATAAGCTGAGTTTTAGAAGCTTAATTCATTAGGTCTCTGTCTTATCCCAGACTCCTTACTTTTCTTTAGAAATCCATAAAAGAAAAAAAGTTGCATTATATGCAAATCATAACAGAACAGCTGTCATCAGCAATTTTACTCTGTGGTGAAAGAAGCATTTTAAAGTCAAGTAAACTCGGCATTAACACAGACTGTACTAATCTGAAGATTCACTGAACAGCATGTGTCTTTTCAACTGTACTCTTACAAATACGCTAAAACAGTATTTAAGACTTTTCACTTAAACAAAGTCTTCTTGACGTATAAGGGAAAAATACCAATATTATATTTTATGTATTATACAACTTATTTTGAATCAGTGTTCTCTACCTTTTGTAGAATCCAGGAAAATCTGAAGACTTTAATGATACTATTCTGGAATAGTACTCCTAGGAAATTAATCTCATTCCCAATATTTAACAAACTTTCAGATAGTCCTCAAGAACAACCAACATCACCTCACAATGTACCCAGCACTGTACTATGAAAGTATCCAGAACCATAGTACAAAGGTACATTATTAATGTAAAAATAAATCTTATAAAAGGAGCTTTAGTTTTGCAGTGAAATAAAAACATTACTTCCTCTGGAGTGATATATTTAAGTATTAGTATATGAATATGCTGTATGCTAACCATCTTTAAAGAGCAAAAGTATAAATTAAACTTACCAATAATAATATATTTAAAGATGTAAGAGTAGTTGTATGGTGCAGTTGCCATGGTGGCACTAAAAACAAAGAAAACTGTTAATTGAGAAGGTAAGTATACACAAGTTATTCAAACTTTTCTATCCTGTAAAGATACATAAAATAATGTGCACTTAGTACAAACAAAATATTGGTTATAATAAGTTAGAATAAAATTGCATTGCCCAAATTGACCAAGTACCAAATTCTCTTGGATGAATGTGCTTTAACATTTTCATGTATTATCTAGAGAAATATGAGGAGCCATATCTGCCCCAGAAATTCCAATGTCACTTTAGGAAATATAGATTAAAAAATGTTATTCTCAGGGCCAGCAGGTGGTGTGGTGGTTAAGGGTGCTGGACTCCCATATGGCCAATTGTAGTTCAAGTCCTGGACATGGTGGATTCCTTTCTCACTTTCCTCCTATCTCTCTCTCACTTTGACCCGTGTGTGTGTGTGTGTGTGTATATATATATATATATAATTAAATAAAATAATTATTTTTTTAAAAAATGTTATTCTGGGGGCCAAATGGTCAAAAGGCAACTGAATCTCCATATGGTCAACGGCATGATTTGAATCCTGGAACCCATGGCTTAAAAAACATGCTGGGTACATATGCAGATGTGCCCAAAATTTCAAGAGGAGAATGGAGAAGGGATCCTGAGTGATCATCCCTGCCAGGGATGATTTCTCACTCCCGCCCCCCTTTTGTCTCCATCTCCATAGCACATACACCCTGTAGCAAAAATTAAAAATGAATAAAAACCTGTCAAAAAAAAAAAAAAAAAGAAAGAAAGAGAAAAATGTTATTCTGGGGCCAGCCCATGGTTTGGTAGTTAAGGTAGTTGGATCACACATGGCCTATTATGCAGCTTGAAAAACACACCAGGCACTGGGACCAGCAAATGGTGTCATGGTCACATCTCTGAACTCCTATGTAGTGCTTTGAGTCCCAGACCCGGCAGCTTAAAACTCAAGCCAGGCGTGTGTGCTTGAAATCACCCTGGGGAGTGATTTCTAGCTTTCTGTCTCTGATTCTTTGGCAAGCGCACCCGCCCTATTTCAAAAACGTCTCTCAAAAAAAAAGAAAAAAAAAGAAAGAAAGAAAGAAAAGAAAAGAAAAACACACCAGGTGCATGTGTGTCCGAAATCCTGACTGCAAATCTGCACCTTCTGACCAATTTAAAAAAAATTTTTTTTATTCTAAAAAGAAACATTATTCTGGGGACCAGCAGTTAGCGTAATGGCTATGCCGCTGGACTCCCATGTAGTCGACCACGGTTTGCGTCCCGGACTCGGTGGCTTAAAACTCATGCCAGGCGCATTTATGTGCGTGCTCAAGATCCCAAAAGGAGAATGGAGGAGAAGGGACTGCAACATGGCCATCCCCCTGGGGGGGGATTATTTTTCACTTGCTGTCTCTCTGTCTCTCTCTTTCTGGCAAGCTCACGCACCCTATAGCATAAACCTCTCCAAAAAAAAAAAAAAGTTAACTATTATTGGCAATTTCAGATAATTCATCATACAGGACTTGCAGATTAATAAAGTGCCTGCTATATGTACTATTCTAGGAGAAGAAATCATACTTGTGCTTGATAAAAATTTGAACGTTTACATATTAGAAGACATTTCAAAAAACCATGAACTCTCAGGCAGACTTAACCTAAAGAATCTAATTTCTCTCCTACTTTTAATAGGGAAAAAAAATAAGAGACCAGCAAGTGGTGTAATGGTCACGTCACTGGACTCCCACATAGTCAACTGTGGTTTGAGTCCCAGACCCGGTGGCTTAAACTCATGCTGGGAGCGAGTGCAGGTATGCCCAAAATCCCAAAAGGAGATTGGAGTAGGGATTGCAGTACGGCCAGCACCCCTGAGGAGTTATTTCTCGCTTTCTGTCTCTGTCTCTGTCTCTCTCTCGTCTCATGAGCACACACGCCCTATAGCAAAAAATTGCTCTTAAAACAAAACAAAACTCAGGGCCAGCAGCTGGCATGATGGTTAAGGTGCTGGACACTCCTACATGGCTAACCACAGTTCGAGTTCCAGACCTGGTGGCTTGCTTTCTCACTTTCCCTTCTCTTTCATGTCTCTCTCTTTCTGTGTCTCTCTCTGGCCAAATTAAAATGAATGAATAAATAAATAATTAAATCACTCTTTTAAAAAAACTGCAGTGTATTTATTTGAATGCCTTGTTACCAATTACAGACTGGCATGTTGTAACAAATTTATAATCAGTCTTCTACATCACAGAAAACTCCCTCAACCAGTTCTTTCAGGTAAGGGAGTTTTTCTAGTTAGATAAACTCTGATTTTGAACATTAATCCTTTCTTCCCTTTTCCAGACACTAGGGACTTAAAACTTTTAAAGATAAACTTGGTCCTCAGGCTAAAATTGGTCTGAAGTATTTACCAGATCACTAAAAGAGATGCCAAATACAGGGGAAAAAAATGATCTCTTACATTAGAAAAGACATTTAAAGGTTATTAACCTCTTACCCTGCATTCCTCCCAGACTTATTTCTTCTGATTAATTTTTAACTCCTCTTTTAAATTCCTCTTTCTTCAAATGTAGGTAAAAATAATCACTTAGTCACTTTTAAATTACTTTCTCTTGTGCTCATCCCCTTGATTACCTTCTTTCTGTTCCCTCTTCTAACTAAATGTTGTAGCTATACATATTTTGCTTCCATCTATTTTATTATGTTAAAAGATGGCTTCTAGGGACCAGCAGATGGCTTAATGGTTACTTCTCTGGACTCCCACACAGTCGATTATGGTCTGTGTCCCAGACCCGGTGGCTTAAAACACGCCAGGCATGTGTGTGCACGTGCCCAGAATCCCAAGAGGAGAATGGAGGAAAGGGGATTGTGGTGTAACAATCCCCCCTGGGGGGTGATTTCTCCCTATCTGTCTGTCTCTCTGGTGAGCACTTGTGTCCTATCACAAAACTGTTGCAAAAAATATGTATAGCTTCTAAATAATCTCAATTTCTACTTCAAATGCTCTAAAGACTAAACATGGAGTTATGATTCAATTCTGGTTATACTAATTTGTGTACCTGCTAATTATCATACCATGTATACATTAATGAAATATATAACAAAACTAATTTGACAAAAAAATTAATTACAAAAATTAATATAGTGTATAGTATTTAGAAATTTTAAAAAATGATCACTATTTAAAATTAAATATCAACAGTATGTGTCTACCTTACCACACAATTTCCTGGATCAAAATTTTTTTTTAATTACGAAAACTCTAAATGCAGAATTTCAAACTACTTAAATGTATTAATTTCAGTAGATAAGGAAACAGAAAATATCTATCGCTGTAACTATCAAAACTCAACAGGTTCTCCCTTTTTTATACAAAGGTAAGATACTAGCTAGGAGTAAATCTATTTCCATATTTTATTGAAACATTTAGTCAAAATAACATATCCGTAATAAAACAACAGTCAAGTGACCCCCTTTAAATGTTAGCTACACTTAATATTGCTTTGTTAAAGCAATATTAATTATAATTTAATATTAATTGCTTTTCAACCTCATTTCTTAAACATGAAACAAACCATGGTTAAGATGAGGAAGATATTTTTACCTAGCCTTAAAAGGGGGGAGAAAGTTTTTCCTGGGTTTTTGTTTGTGGTTTGGTTTTCTATCATTTTTGCTATATGGCGTGTATGCTCACCAGAGACAGAAAGAGGAAGTGAGAAAGCACCCTCAAGCACAGATGGCCATGGCACAGTCCTCTCCTTCTGGGATTTTGGGCTTGTACATACAACAGCCTTATACCTTTCTCAAGCCACTGAGTCCAAGACTTGAACCACTCAGTCAGCCAAGTGGGATCCAGTCACCCTAACCACTATACCACCAGCCTGGCCCTTTTCTGTTCCTCAAGAGTGCTTTTTTGCTTTACTTACTTCAAGAACTCAAAGGTAAAAACAAACAAACCAAAAAAACCCAGCAACATATGTTGATTTAATTCAAATACTGAAAACCCAAGACCACAGTAATTAAAAAAAAAAAAATCTCAGTAACATTCTATAACTTGTGCACAATTACTGCTACCATGAAAATGTACTTTCTTCCAGTTTTACAAAAGTCATTTGAATATGAAAATAAGAACTTGCCTTTAATGCCTTTGATTTCTTTAAGATAAAAGGACTACTACATTTCACTTTCTTTTTTTTTTTCCTGCTATAGGGTGCCTGCGCTCGCCAGACAGAGAGAGACATAGAGACAGAAAGCGAGAAATCACCCCCCGAGGGGATTGTCACACTGCAATCCCTTCTCCTCCATTCTCCCCTCGGAATCTTGGGCACACACGCACACGCGCCTGGCGTGAGTTTTAAGCCAACGGGTCCGGGACGCGAACCGCGGTCGACTACATGGGAGTCCAGAGACATAGCCATTACGCTAACTGCTGGTTCCTCAGGACTACTACATTTCAGAAAACAGATGTCATTAAATGCATGAAGAACTTGTAAACTAGTAACAAGACAATTGTTACGATTACCATTTATTGTACCCTTAACATAGTTAACCAGGCAATTTTATTTAATCCTTATTACTGTTAACCTTATAAAATAGTTACTATTACCCTCATTTTAAGGATAAGGAAATAGACGCAAAAGATAGAAACATACCCAGCTCATAGAGCTTAGTGGTTAAATTTGAACTGCAGTTAGGACTATCCTAACTACAGAGATCTCCCTCTTAACCCATTTCACCCTGCCTCCTCAACAAGGCTGTGAGATGAACCACAAAGCTGTGTAGTGGTGATTTGGACTACACACCTCTCTCAGTTCACTCACTTGGTTCTAATGTAACATTCTAAATAAGACATATTGGGCTAGCCCCCTAGCCTAGTGGTTAAGGGAGTTAGAACCCACATGGTCAACCGTGATTTGAATTCAGGCCCTGACAGCTGGAAAAAAATACCAGGCGCATGTGCGAACATGCCCCTTGGAAGTGCACGCACCATCTGGCAATTAAAAAGGAAAAATATTAAACAATTACATTCAGAGGATGCACTGTGATCAAAATTTTAAAAAGTGGATGG